AGAGAGAGAGAGTTGGGCCGACTTGCATTCAGACTGCTTTGTCTTGCTCGACTTCTGTGCTTTGTTTCATTGTTGTAAAAAAAGGTTTTTCCATTTTTATTTATTCATTGGTTATTTAAACTCTGGCTTGCTTAGGCAAATAATATACTAGGAAAAACTGATATTGATAAACAAAGTAGGTCATCACACACTAGCCACATGTAATTATGCCTCGAAAACATTTTCCAGGCCCTTCAAATGCATTACAACTTTGACCAAGCGTGTGACAAAAGAGCTTTTAGCAGCACTGAGGAAATCTGAAGAAAGCTGGTGAAGAAGAGGATGTTCCAATTCCTGTTGCTGCTTTTTTAGACACCGCAGTGGAAGTATAAGCCTGTCTGGGAAACTGTTGTGACACCTGACTGGAAGTGATAGCAACAAGGCAGGAGACTGTCCTAACACAGGCGTCACCCAGAGGATGCTGCTGTGGTTTACCGAGAGGAAGTTAACAGTGTGTGTTCAAGACATGGCAAAGGATAACGACAGAGAGAAAAACCTCATGTCTGTATGAAGGTCTGTGTCGTGAACAGTAGCAACAACACAGATCTCGGACCTGCAGCCAGACTGAATTAACAAATTCCTTGGAAAGAGTTAAAATTTTAGGTTTTAAAATGAATTTCACAGTCTCCCTGCTGAAATGAAATTCGTGGGGGTGGTAAGTTCTCCAGATAAAATTTTAGCTGTCTAAACTTAAGAACTAAGACAGACTACGATATTATTTAGAGACTAAGCATGGAAATCCCCAAAAGGGTATAAAGACACAGCATTTAATTGTAATGAAATATGTAAACTTAAAGCGATGCACAACATCACTTACTCTCTTACCCAAAATTAGAAGCAGAAGAAACAACTTACAGCAAAACTCCCTTCAATAATGTCAGTGTTTCAATATTAGTCTTGATTTGCATAAAACTGATCAAATATAAGGCTTGCCATTCAGCACTCTAACCCATCTTGACACCAACTTTACTTTGCACAGGTTGAATAATTCATGATACATTTAATAAAAAGGGGGAGAAAAAACAAATCTGGTTGGATTAATAAACCATTCCTGGTGTTGAGTCCACATAGGCGGCACAAAGATATAGTTTTCAGCTCTCCTTATACTTTGTTTTTACAGCAGTCTGCTGTCGTCTTCACTAGCTTGTACATGTTTTACAATTACAGGTGTGCTTCAATAGAAAAATAATTTCCTCCCCATTTCGATGTCTCCCTATCCTCCCCCTGTTTTCAGCTGGGTGGCACATGCCAGCTTTCTCTTGCCATCCTGTCAGCCTGCAGCAGATGTGACATCACTACAGCTCATCTCCACTCTGCCCCCCCCAACAAAAAAAAAAAAAAAAAAATTCTCCGACTCCCCCAGCATCTCTGTCTGTCTCCCACGCATTCCTTCTTTCTCTCTGCCTCTGCACACACAGCCATTTTGATCTAGCAAACAAGATCTGAGAGCCTCAGTAGAATAGAGAGAGGCGGGGAAAGGAGAAGAAGCAAGAGAATTGAGGAGAAAAAGAAAGCGAGGCAGGCTTTTCAGTTCAGTGAGATAAAGCTGAAGGAGTCACGTTGTTGTGTAACAGTAATCACACAAAAAAAAAACCTAGCTGTTTGGCTGCCATCTTGGCTCTGCTTTAAGTCACTTTTCTTCAATCAGGAACCACGTGACTTTCTGCATGAGGTAACGCCACTTTTACTGCAAAAGGCAGTAGGCGAGGGATGAAGGAGTGACTGAAAGGGAGAGGAAGAGAGGGTGAAAGAGGGAAAGGAAGAGGGGCGAGAGAGTGAGATGAGGAAGGCAGAAATGGGAGGGAGGGGTTAGAGTGGGATGGGTGAGAGACGGAGAGAGTGGTGAGCAAAGGGGAGCGCATGCTTGAGTGGGTGCATGCGAGAATGGGGGGGGGTATCTTCAGCTCACAGGCAATCTATTTTTACCATTTAGCCTGAACAAAGGATGTGATTGGCTCCACTGTGTTAGGACGAATCTCCTTCACGCAAGGAACAAAGCCTTAAAAAGGTTAATTCACAGCAAAGTCACAACAACAGCAGGATGTCACAGGGTTGTCACCGAGCTAGACAGCCATGAGAATGCCGTTCTTTATTCTGGCTTATAAACAGCAAGTATGCCAAGTGAAAAAACAAAACACATCTGTGCAATTCTGACCGAATAAATGTGAAAATGATGTTAGAACTATAGACAACTTGTTTTTACAATGTAGATTCATGCAGGAATGATGGGGAGGATCTCCCATTCAGGAACATACAAGAATGTAAACAAACCAGCCTTCAAATATAATGATTTACAGCATGCAGACACAGGGAGGGAGACAGAGAGAGAGAGAGAGAGAGAGAAAGAGAAACAGCAAACCAGCTTGGATCAACATGACTCTGGTTATTTGTGAGATCTACCAGCCTAAACTTGTCCTAGCAGGCTCCTCGTGATGGTGCACAAACGAGCGAGTGTACTTGCATCCTGCACTGCAAATTTTTCCAAGCACGCATGTGTAAGCCTATGTAAGTCTGTGACTGTTTAAGCGGTGGTACACGGCATGCACATGGCAGATCACTCTGGTGGACCGTGTTCTCCGTACATCCTTCAAAAACATGTGGATGTCATTAAAAGTTTCTGCTCCACAGTACGGTCTGTTAACAGGGGGAACGAAGGAGGCAGAGTCACTGAAATGCTACAGGAGGGAGAAAAGAACCTAGATAGTACAGAAACAAAAACATCTGAGAGAAGGACATCAAGCAGAGGCCCTAATATTAC